TCGAGCAAATATTCATGAGACCATTAAGCCTAAGGGCTATATTAGTTTGAGTTCGAGAAAACACTCACTCGACCATTAAGCCTAAGGGATACATTAGTTCGAGTTCGAGCAAACACTCACTCGAACGTTAAACCTAAGGGCTACATTACTTCGAGTTCGAGAAAACACTCACTCGAACGTTAAACCTAAGGGCTACATTACTTCGAGTTAGAGCAAACATTCACTCGACCAGTAAGCCTAAGGGTTGTTTTTCACTTCGAGTTAGAGAAATCATTCTCACTCGACCATTAAGCCCAAGGGCCACATTGATTCAAGTTCGAACTATTTCCCCGAACCGGGGACTGCGTATCAAGCTTAAAAGGGCTACTCTATTTTCAAGCTTGAGCAAATCATTTCATTTTACATCTATCCATCGAGCCTAGGGGCCACCTCAGTTCGAATTCAGACATTCACTCGGGGAATACCTAATCATTCAATGCTAAGGCACTTTTGACATTTGTATAAATTAACAAAATGGCAAAAGATTCGGAAGCCATAAAGGGAAAAAGTGCTTTGGTTAAGGTAGGTCACAATTTGGATAAGGGTAACACTCCGTGATCGCATAGAGCAACTGACAACAATCCATTTTTCCCAACTTAACACATTTTGACTTGTTTTCTTCCGTATCTTCTCCAAATGATGTGATACCTGAAATATGCCACTAAACCTCAGAAAATGCCTTAGTTTCTCATCAAAATCATACAAAATCCTAAGTATTAAGAAGAGATAAGCTGGTAAAATACCAACTTATCAAACCCCAAAACTTAAACTATTGCTTGTCCTTAAGCAATTCAAGAAGTGAGAACATCCTTCAATAAAATCATCAATTAAGCACAATCGCATACCAAACATCATTTCAAGTCAAAAAGGTTCAAATTAAACACAATCTAGTGACTTTGGTTGGGACCAACAATTAATCTAAAGCATATGAATCACCAACTTCTCACAAATTTCATTTCAATTCAAGTGTTCAAACACCACATTAATCAAAGTGGCAACCAAGTCATGACACTAAAGCTTCAAAATTTGCCTCATTATCGCAAATAATTTTATTTTGTTCATTCCTCCCAATTGGAGAAGTTCACAACTCAAAATTTTCATGTGCCCTCACACTTAAGAGAGAATACCAACTTATAAATTGCAATTTAAACACACATGGGATATTAAATGGAAAGAATTACTCTCACTCTCACAAAGATATTCAAATGCATAAAAGTAGTGCCATATGCTTGCCCTTCATGTATTTCTCCAACCAAATAGGGCCTTTCGACACATCAGGGGCGGTTTCCTCAACCTTAGTGGTCGGTTGCGAAGAAGAAGGAGCATCTTTCAGGGGAACAGTTTTGGAAGCCTTCTTGATGGATAAAAATGTTTGAAAGTATGAAGGAGAATGAGGAGATAAAATGGTGAGAACTTTCTAAGAAAATCAAGCACACTGGCTTAAGTGAGGGGTAAAAGAAAGGTTGCAATTTGAAGAATGAAGGTAGGAATATTAAAGAATGAAGGAAGGCAATGATATCTTGAAGCATCGAATGTAGAATCTTGGTCAAAAGTAAAAACAATGAACGAAAGAAGGGATATTTTTAGGGGCTTGGCATCGTTTCACATCCAGGAGCGCCTTGCCGACAGTTAACATGCGTTGGGGGGCATTATGACGCGACTGACGCAACTGACGCAACGTTTCGGTTTCTTTGTCATTTTATGTCGCAGTGTGTTGGAGAAGAGATCAAAGAACTCATGTTGTTCCTTGTCGTTTCCGTAAAACTTGCTCTTCGAAAAACGAGGGGACTATCAGTATGCAGGTTAAACCAGACCCATGAGACAACCCGATTTCTGATAAAATAAATCGAGTAAGGGACGTTATGACAAAGAGCCGAAATCGAGGTAAGGGACTCATCAAGACAAGTTCCGGGGGCACGACGCCTGCCCTCGAGAATATCGAGGTCGTGACCCCGGTATCAGTCTAAATCTTAAAAGATTTCAGAGAGCATTAACGGGCGACCGAACATGATTTACAGGAGGCGGTGATATCCGTGACTGATCGGCTATCACGGCATGGATCTCGGCACGTACCGACGGAAATCTGGTGATTAGTTAAACGGAAGATTTTTTACTTTTTATGGAATTGTACCTTGAGTAGGACTCCCATACTATATATGGGTGATGTGGTCTGATTATTCATTAGGGACATTGTAACACGCATACCAAGGCAATATACTACTCCCTCTATTTCAATTTAGATGATGTAGTTTGACTTAGCACGGAGTTTAAGAAAAAAAAAGACTTTTGAAACTTGTGGTCTTAAAAGTTTAAGGGGTAAAAGCTTTGTGGGGTCATGACATTTGTGTGGTTATAAAGTCTCTCATTAAGGGTAAAATAGGTAAAATGAAAAGTTTAAAGTTGAATTATTTTCAAATTTAGAAATGTATCATTTATTTTGGAACAGACTAAAAAGGAAAGTGCCCCATCTAATTTGAAACAGAGGGAGTATTATTTTATGTTTTTCAAGGTTGTTACGTTTATTGATCAGTGTTTCATTATTATAAGCCCGAGATCGAAGACGGATACCTCATTAAGGCTGCCCTCGAGTCCAAAATCATCCCCTTTTATTTTTAACCAGTTTGATAATTTATTACATCTATTATCTATTTATTCTAGCAATCTTTACCGTCTGTATTGAATAAATCCATGTATCCTTAAAACCACTTACAAATTTAATTGTTATCCATTTTTATGGTAAATAATAGCAATTCTTTTAACTTGTTTGTTGTTAATTTAAAAAACATTATGAATCGTATTTAATACATTTCACATAGTTTGAATCCTTACCATTCCAACACTATTAGCTAGGGGTGGGCATTCGGTATTTCAGTTCGGTATTTAAAAAACTACGGTTCGGTATTTCGGTATTCGATTATATCAATTGTATATGCCAAATATCGTACCAAAGTAGTTCGGTACAATTAGGTATTTCTTATTTTGGTTCGGTATAGTTTCGATTTGATACATTAGCAGAATATAAGATTACTGGATAGTGGACTGGATAACGGTTTCGGTGTGCTAATTCAACTACAAATTCTAAAACTAAGAGTAATGGATGAAGAAGCACAAGCTCAAAATCAAGAACATTAGCTGATTCTGAAAGTGTACATAGACAAGTTCAACAAAAGATTTAAATCTTTAAAAGAAGAAGATCGTCAAATACATTTATAATTTTTCAACTTAATAAAGTTTGTGATTTATTTAGTCACATTCTTTCTTTGTCTCAATGTCAGCCTCACTATCCGCTTTTCAAGCAACAATAGTACTTTTTATATACTTGTGCTAGCCACAATTACCCTAACGAGGAAGATGACAAATAGAAAGGGTTAGGGAATAGAAAAGGGAAAGGGGGTAAGCAGGTACTTCCGTAAGTCTGCTTGAGCGCTAAGGGATTAGGCAATTAGGGGGCTTGGGGTGTTGGGCTTAGGTTGTTATTGGGCTGAAAAATAAAAATATAGTTGGGCTTGCACATAATTATTTTGGTATTTCGGTATTTTGGTATACCGAAATATCAAAAACTCAATACCGTATACCGTACCGAAATACCGTAATTTTTGTATCGAAATACCGAAAAAATCGTAACCGAAAAATCAAATTAATTCGGTTCGGTTCAGTATTTAATTTTTCGAATTTTATGCACATCCCTACTATTTAGAGAGAAGAGTGGATAAGAATCTAAACCAAGTGAAGTGTATAAAAGATAATTTTCAACAAGTGTTGACATAAGATAATGAGGTCGCACTGCAAGTTTAGTCAATATGAGAAGAGTGAAGTTGAGGTGAGACTAGAAGAAATGTTGTGCCAAAATGCAAACAACTTAGATATTTAGTTTTTTAAGAGAATAAAATGAAATGTTTCTCATACTAATAAAACTGAATAATTGACATGGAAAACTGCTACGAAAATATTATGCGGTAAAAAGACCTAACTAAGTAAAAGGTAAGTTCTACATAACAGTTATAAAATCGATAATGTTATATGTAGTAAAAGCTGGACCTCTAAAATTCAACATATTCGCAAGATGACTGTTGTAGAAATGTGGATGCTAAATATATATGTGATCATACAAGATTAAATAAGATTTAAAATGATCATATTCGTTACAAGTTGCAAGTAGCTTGCATTGAGGTTAAAACGAGAGAAAGTCGATGATTGTACCATATCCTACATCGACCTATAAATATACCCGTTCACAAGTGTGAAACTATGCTAAATAAACATATTAAAAGGGATGGGATATACCTAAAATTACATGAAAAGAAATAGTCTTGAAATACCTACAAAATTCTATGCAGACTTAACTAAAGACATGACATAATGAAAGAAATTGACCCATCATCATCCTTCCTACTTATCCTTTTATCTCTCCCTTTTCTTTTCTCTACCATCTTTCTTTCTTTCTTGGTTTCCTCTTCTTCTTCTTGCCCTTCCTGAGACGAGGGTCTACCTGCATTAGGTAGGGGTAAGGTCTGCGTATAGGCTACCCTTCCCAGACCCCACATGTTGGGATCAAACTGANGTATGATGGTATATGGGTTAAGCTTAAATTAATGCATCAACGAGGACTCATATTAATCAACTCTAATTTGTTTAGGACTGGGTACAATATTAACGTTGAAATGGTGGTATCAACTGAAATATTTGGGATTTTTATAGAATTAGTCGCTCGGACAAAAATATTTATAGTATGCATATTATTCGCTTAGCTTTTTAGGCGATCGGTTATTTAAGTTAATTTATCAAAATATTTGAGAGTGGGGATATCTAGTTTAAATAATTTTATACAAGTGTAGACAATTGACAATACAATAAATTTGACAATATTCATTCAAAATGGACCCCATACTGTGAATGTGTTTGGGTTGGCCTAGGCTCAGCATGGGCCGGCCCGTCTGGCAGTAGACATAAATTGGGTTGATGAGAATCGTCATAATGTCGGGTAAAATTTCTGGTTTCTTTGCCTATCATCGGTGCGGCTGCTAGGGCTTGTTTATTTTGTTTCGAGAAAGAGTGCTGTGTGTTATGGCTTTCCGTTTCGGAGGGTGCGTTGGTTTCAGCTTAATGTTGTCTTTTTTTTCTTTTTTATTTATCCGAGGATTTGATCGATTTTTGTCTTTCTTTTTCTTTTTTGGTTGAGTAGAAAACAATTGGCTGGTGCTGGTGCTGGCCGGGTTTTGCTTGGAGCATCAACAGCACAAATCAGGTTTATAAGTTTTTCTTTTTTATGCAAAATTTTACCTTTTTTTAATATATATTTCGGTATTGATTTTGATTTTGATTTGTTAGGGGATATTGCCAGCAAGCCTCATCCGCTCCAGAATGCACAGTTCGCCGTGGTGGTAAATTGATCACCCAACTTGTTTAATTCTCGCTTCAAATTTCTACTACCATTATTTTTATTTCCGGGTACGCCTACGCCCCATATGAGTATATAATTTGAAAAATCACATGGAAGTATAAAAGTGTAAGCTTTTGAAACTGAGGAATGTTGATCCCATTAGGTTAGCTCGACGAAAGGAAGAAATCATGCCCCACACAAGTCCTCACATGTCTTATTGTGATTACTGAGGACTTCCGCAGGAATCTATATCTTAAGAAAATTGTTCTTATTTCTATAACCTAATACTGGAAAAGACAAGTAACTTTTATCATGATTTTCAGAGATTTGTCAAATAACACAAATTGAAAAACTGTATCTTTTGTCTTTTAGAGTTTTGGGAATGAAGAGGTTGACCTTATATCTCCTAGAGAAAATTGATAAGTGGCAATGTAACTACTAATGTTGCGTTAATATTTTTTTTGAGAAAGGGCAACAACATGTTGCGTTAATACTTTACAACAAAGAACATAATATATATATATATATATATATATATATATATATATATATATATATATATATAGGGAGTTGTCATTTGTTTGGATGAATGGAAAGATAAAGAAAATTAAATAATAACTAACTTTTTTAAAACATTGTACTTCATTTTTTGTTGATTCAAATTAATGATATTATCTCACCCTTTAGATTCTCTAAACTTCCACACCTGTGTTTGTGTTTCTATTACCTCTAAACTTCATTTTTTGGTTTGGATCGCATTATGGACTTCAAATGCATAGTATACAAAGCTAGAACCAATTCCTCTTAAAACGAAAAAAAATGAAAAACAATAGAATTTTACCTCTTGTTTTTATTTTTAATATTTTTTGAAAAGGAGAATTTCACCTCTTATTATCTTGTGTTTTACCTTATTATAGTGTTTAAACAATTCAAAAGAATCTTCCTGGATTTTGAATTTGGTTGACACCCTATACGTTTTCAAAATCATAAGTCCTTAATCTATATTATTATAAAAGCATGAATAAAATATTGGTTTACAAAAATAACCTTTTAATATTAAGCATAATAACTCACAATAAAAGGACACAACTAGAATTCTAGATATTAGCTTTGTAATCCTATTAACTTTAGGACATAATACTACACATTGGGAAATCCTATATGATTACATTTAGGAATCCTATTAGTATAATTATTTTCGGGCATAGATATATAATACTGCATATTAGCATGTAAACCCAATATCTTTAGGAACACGTTAGATTTCCTTTTAGTATAATTACTTTCGGGATATGGACATATTTTTAGCTATGTAATCCTATTACTTTTAGGATACACTTAAAAAATTTGTATTACTAATTTAATTTGAAAACGTATTATATTGTCCAAATCCATTTAGAAACAAGAGAGCCTATGTCTATATCTATATCTATATCTATTATAAAAGCATGAATATAACGTTGGAAGACCAAAATAGCCCTAAAATATTAATTGAATTGTATAATATTAATGTACAAAAACGTAAAATTAGTTTATTAGTCGTAGCATCCAAATCAAAGTTTGGTATATCTACGTACAAGTAAATTAACTTTCTGCATTTAATTTTTTTGAAGTTTAACTTTAAGAAACACTAACAGTAACAGAGAGCCGACCATATGTTTTTCTCATTAATCGCTACAGAAAAAGGCTTATTATGTGAGAGTGAAAAGAATTACTTTTTGTTTACTTTTCAAGTTGTGGTTTTTCTGATATTCTAAAAATATACTTTATGTAATAACTTTTTTCTTTTTTCTTTTTTCTTTTATTGAGTAACTTTATTATGAGAGTACTGTACAATATATTTTAATGGGTAGCTCTAGTTGGATAGTCGTAGTTATAATGTAGTAAATACTTTAAAATTAGAATAAATACTATAAGACAATATTTTAAATTTAATGGAATTATCTAGAAGAAGATGCCGATATTGGCAGAGGTATTGATGCCTACTTCGCCGATCTGAACCACTTCGAGTCTAATCAACAGCGGTTACAGCATATTAAGAGGGTCTATTATCTCTTCCTTGAAAATTACAATCAGCTATTAACGACAACTCTAACTAAATTGACTACTCATATATTCTCCCCCTTTGAAAGATAAATAGCACGGCTTATACCCTAGGGCTATTTTATCTTCGTTAAAATTTCAATTAGGCATTAATTACAACTTTGATTAAATTCCTCTCTCCCTAAGTTGCTCTGACACGGGTGCGGATCTAGAGGTCGGATCCTTTGAGATGGAAATTTTTAGATTCGGGGATACGGATCCTAGAACCGACACGGGTGCGGGGATCCGCCTAAAAATAATTCAAAAATAAAAATAAAAATATATCTACATTATGAGAAATTTTATGGAATACTTACCTATAACTTGTAAAATGTGGATTTCCTTTTTATTCTCAAGTTGTAGGCGCGATTTCTTGATTTTCTTCCATTCTCATATTCTCCTACAAGTTACACAAAGTATATTAAAACATAATATATATCATATAATTACATAAGTAAAAGAGTTGGATATATAAAGATAAAGAAAACTGAAAACATATCTTTTAGGCTTTTACTGCTTTTGTCGAAGAACATGACCTTGACAAGAACATAGAGAATAAAAGATGTATCATTTAGCAATTAACATTTCTCTCACAAGCCACAAATTATGAAGAGTTAGCCATTCTCATTNACAAGTCACAAATTATGAAGAGTTAGCCATTCTCATTAAGTCAATCAAAATAAGTATGAACACCAAAAAGGCAAAAATAAACTACAAGTCTACAATTGCAATCACCATTCGAGCATTCCCATATAAAGTTACATTAACATTGAACTATATAAACTAACAAAAAGTAGGAGAGGATAACTACTAAGTTTTAACAATTGAACAATAACATTTAGCATTCTTCCTCAATATTTTCAAGATCAATTTCTTGCACATCTTCAATCTCCTTTTCAAATATGACTCTTTCTAGTTGAGGTTCATTGATTGATAAGTCAAGTAGATCATTGGTGGCTTCATCAACATCAAAACGATCTCCACCTAAAGCAAAATTAAAATAAAAATGATTTAAAAATAAAAAAATACTGAAGGAAATATAAATTCAAGAAAACATAAATTATAGACATACCCACATCCCAATACTTGCTTGGGCCACTTGTATATGTTTCTTTCTGACGAGAAAGCAAGCGAAGATTGTAGTGCACAAAAACTAGATCTTCGGCTCTAGAAGTCTCTAACTTGTTTCTTTTGATACTATGGATCAACGAATAGGTGCTCCAATTCCTTTCGCAAGAAGAAGAAGAAGCCGGTTGTGAAAGCAATTCGTACGCCAAGCTTTGCAAAAGTGGAGCGTTTACACCATGGTTAGCCCACCAAGATAGAGGCTCCTCATACATCATAGCCTCAACCACATGAGGCTCACTAAAGAAACCACTACCACTTGCGAATGCTCCATACTCCAAAGATGCTTGTTTTAGATCATTTGAATCTTTAAAGCATCTTTGAAAGCATTTAACTCTATTTAAGGAAATCTCTCTATCCTCATTTGGAGCAAGCCTTCGAACCCCATTGCCTTCCCCTTTAAGCCATGATTCATGGTAGTATTTTGGTACCAAAGAATGTGCCATACAATGCAAAGGGGTGTTACTCTTATTCCACCTAACAAGAAGAATTTCTTGAATTGTATTAAAAAAGTCTGATTGCCCGACAATAAGATCCTTTCCCTCATGTTCAAAGATAATTGCTTTCACCTTTTCGATCATTGTATCCCACATATCATAAACAAGATGCAACTTTGGAGCATCAAGATCGGCACTTCTAAGCATAGACACAATTGGTTCAGTAAACTTTAAAAAGTACTCAATCTTATCCCACCATTCGTCATTCATTACAAGGGATTTAATTTCACGCGTTTTAGCTTCAATCACTTTATCTCCCTTATAGTTTCTCCAATCATCATCCATTACTATTCTTTCCAAAGATGCTTTCACTTGATGAACACGACTAGTCATGACAACATGAGATGCAAATCTCGTTTCGGCAACTTTCAACAAAGACAACGCTGAATGCTTTTGAAAAAGAGCATGAGCCATATCATGATTCAACACAAAATTTTCAAGCTACTAACTTCACCAATCAAATCTAAAATCCATTTGCAATTTATAAATTGAGTTGATTTTTCGGAAGGTTGGCACATGCTTTTTAGTGCAAGGTTCAAACAATGAACAACACATGGTGTCCAAAATATATGTGGATAAGTTTGCTCAACCGTAGAACCGGCAAGCTTCATATTACTTGCATTATTGGTGATAACTTGAACAACATTACTTGCACCAACTTCCTCAATTGATTTAATGAACAAATTAGCTATATATTCTCCACCCTTCACAACGCCACTTGAATTGGTTGATTTTAAAAATATTGGACCACCACTAAAAGCCGCTATTATGTTTATCAATGGCCGCCTCTTAATATCCGACCATCCATCAGAACAAATAGACAACCCTTTTCTCTTCCATGCATCCTTAATAGGTTGCAATTTTCTATCAATATGAGCTTTTTCTTGAGCTAAAAGGGTAGTTTTTAACCTATTGTACGTTGGCGGAACATAACCGGGTATAGAAGTATTTGCCAAAAACTCTGAATACCTTCTAAAATAAGGAGACTTGGCAAAATTAAAAGATAAACCTGAAGCGTAGAACATGCGGGCTACCATTTTGTCGGTGATGTTTCTATTCTCAATGCCGAACGACTTCTCTAGAGCTCCAACGTTTGAACCTTTTCTTTTTTTAAAATGCGATAAATCCGACCCTTCATGAAGCGATACGTAATCTGACTTTTTCCTCGCATCAAGTTGTACAGATGCTTTTTTATTTTCAGCTTCTTCATGTTCTTGCTTCAAAGCTTCACAAACTTCTTTGCTTATCTCTTTACATATTTGAACACCTTGACCAGAGATTTTTAACAAATGAGCTT